CACACACACACAAATGCCAAAGGACAAAAAAAAGCAAACGACAACAAACGAACAAAAAACAATAAAAATAAAACCAACAACCAACAAAACCCCACGATGTTCTAAAATATCACGTCGAAACACTCGGGTACTGCCTGGCGCCGCTGGTGAAGAGATGGGGTCTGGTAGGCCTGGAGTCGCTGCTGTAGGAGAAGCTGGCAGCGCCATGAGGAGGCGGACGTCCCTCCAGCACCACGCCACCACCACCGCTCTCCACGCCGTCCTCCGCCAGCTTGTCCCCCACACCAGGGATGATGCGGACAGAAGAATAACACGCGGAGACTCCACTAGGTTTTCATCTCAAGAATAATCCCAGGCTCAGATTGAGAAAATCCATGTATAAAAGGTGATATTTCTGAACAACATACTCTGTGTGGATGGTGTAAAAAACAAAGAAACAACAACAAAAAAACAACAACCCCAAAACAAGATGTTATAATATCTATAGGTTTTCATGTCAAGAATAATTCCAGGCTCGGAGACCATCCTTCCATATAAACGCTGCTATTTCTGAACAACATACGATGTATGGGTGGGGTAAAAACAAAACAAAAAACAAAACAAAAAACAAAACAAACGAAAACAAGCAACAACAAAAAAACCCAACAAAAACATGATTTTATAATAATATCGCTCCGAAACTCCAACAGATTTTCATGTCAAGAATAATCCCAGGCTAGGAGAACATCCTTGTATAAAATGTGATATTTCTGAACATCATACGATGTATGGATGGCGTTTAAAAAACAACTACAAAAAACAAAACAAACAACAACAAAACCCCACGATGTTCTAACAACATCACGCCGAAACACTCGGGTACTGCCTGGCGCCGCTGGTGAAGAGATAGGGTCTGGTAGGCCTGGAGTCGCTGCTGTAGGAGAACCTGGCAGCGCCAGGAGGAGGCGGACGTCCCTCCAGCACCACGCCACCACCACCGGTCTCCAAGCCGTCCTCCGCCAGCTTGTCCTCTAGTCCAGGGATGATGCGGACCATGTCCTCAGGCCCCGAGTTCCGCCTCAGGAACAGCGTGATGGTCACTACCGCGGACACTTCGGACGCAAGGAAGCCAAACCCGGCCGTGAAGAACGACCAGCCGTATGCGTAAGAGAAGGCACCGCCTTTTTTCTGAGGACAAACAATGGGATTTACAATACTTAGTTTAGTTTTCGTAGAGGTTTTGCGGCGCTCGCAACTGCATAATAAGGTCATATGAGCTCCAGAAGATTAGAGGTGTTACAAGACAGTAACAAACATAAAAAAGAAGAAGGGGAGATAAGGACGACAGATGTTTGATAGGGAAGAAGAAGCAAACCATACCAGAGCACCCGCCAACCACCCACTATTATACTTAGAATACAGGTAATACTTATTACATTGATAAGTCTGCAAGGCTGAAAGCTTTTTATAAAGGTTGTTCAATAGCTCTTCACGAAAATCTGAGAGGAACATTCTTCGGCCTACATGTGTATTTTTGTTTTAAACAACCTTCGTTGGAGAGGGCACAACGCGAAGATTATTATGTCTATAATATATCACATATGTACGCAATGGTGTCTGCAGTGTTGACGTCGTCCTCATGTTGCGTGACCATCGGAAATCGTCGATAGCATATAGGGGTCCGACAGTGCAGAAAGCAATAGGCCCAGGCCATGCAATCAACGGTTTGAAATAATGACATTGTTTTTACTTAGATTTCCCATAAAGTCAACAAACTTATTTTTATTTTTGTTCTTCCAATAAAAATCCACAAAAGAACACCCCCCTCCCCCCCAAAAAAGAATAAGATAAATGAAATAAATTTTAAAAAATCAAAGGAAAACCTATTAAATATGTAATCTAATATCAAGCTTCAATCTCTCTTGACCTTCTGATGGAAATAAAAGGTGGCCAGAATTCGTTAAATTTACTACCCCATATGAATTAAAATCGCTGTCTGTATTCAATTTTAGTCTGCCTACTAATAGTTCCGAAATTCTGTTACGATTAGATATCAATTCTTAGAAATTGGTATCTCTTCAATTTGTTAAACCAAACCAAAACCAAATTAAACCAAACCAAACAATACAAAACCAAACACAAATCAAAGATCAAACAACGAACAAGCAATATCGCAAACAAAAAGTACTACAAATATAAACAAAATTACAATAAAATAAAACAATAAACTGATTTCAAACTCCGTTACTTTAAAAATAATGAATATACTCGTGCCTTGTTCTGATCATCTCATGAAGTAAAAGATACCTACACTTGTGCTGATCCGGTAGCCCACTTCGTCGTTGATGGCAGAAATGTAGAGGATCATCCCGACTGCTAACGATAATCCTGCGGAGCATTTGAGATGTTTCACATATCTATGATTACAAAAATTAATAATATATTTTTAATGAGGGTGAGGTGGCGTCGGTAACCTAGTGGTTAGACTACCTGACTCGTAATCGTTAGATTGCGGGTTCGGGGGTTTGAGCCTCAGCTCGGTCCGACGTTGTGTCCTTGGGAAAGGCACTTTACTCGAATTTCCTTTTTGCCCCGGTCCTTTCGGAGATGGACGTTATGTTCATTCTGCTTTTTTAAATATAGAGTGACCATGTTTCATCTCTACCCATTACTTCTTCCGCCCCATTTCCCAGACATTGCAATATCCATTCTTTATTCTACTTTTCAACTCTGCATTTCATAATCCGTAAATATCTCAACTCACAGCTTTATGTCTGAGTCTGCGGTTGAGCAGTTAGGCGCTTTCACATCGAACAAAGAAGACCTGAGTACTATTACTACTATTACTGCATAGGGAATTCTTTATTGTGTGTCTTCGTCTTTCTGCTGGGACGTTGTATCCCTCTTAGCCATGATTGGCCCAGATAGAAGGCTTCAAACAGTCCACTTCTTAAATGATCTAAATAGTGCAAATGGGGGCGTAAAACTACTACAATTACATTATGGTATATTATTACTGCAATGTTCACATTTGATTATACTTTTTCAAACCCTGCATTTCATCAGTTAACTACACATTTTAGTGTCATTAGTTTTATCTAGAATTTACTTCATCAATATTTTTAGGACAGGGTTCTTCCCGTAATTTTCTTCTCATGCATCATCGAGCACCATCTAACTGAATAAGGAGCAAACACTGTCAGTCGTTGTTGTCATGGCATATTTCATTATATATATTGATTCCGATATAAACCCCAAGAGGCGAAACGCAGAGAAGACCATTTTTACAACTGGAACTTTGTATTTAACTATATAAACTATTCAAGTCTTCATTTGATGACGCTACTTTTTAATAATGCTGATGATAGGGAGGAGAATGATGATGGAGATTATGATGATGAGGCAGCAAGGTTACAATGAAGTCCCTAAGAATCATAACACATCAACCACATCCCTCTCCTTTACCCTTCCCAAATTTAAACAACAAAAAACTCGAGGTCTGGGCTTCAACAAACTTCCTTTCATTTACATTGACAAAAACAAAAACGGCATCAGCAGCTACAACAGCAACAACATCAACAACAAAAGCAACACCACCACCACCACCACCACCACCAACAACAACAACAGCAACAACAACACAAACAACAACATCACTCCAACAACAATAAAAAGCAATCAGTTGCCTACTCACAAGAAAATCACATACGATCGCCATGTTAAACCAAAGTATAATCTTATCATGAAAACCACAGAACCATCTCACCTGAAAGAATATAACAGACTCCACCTATTAGAGTCTTTGCGTCTTTTCGGATATTCCCGACAACGCTGAAGACGACGGCAATGACGGCGAGGATGAGAGCAGACACGGCAAACGCCACCGAATTACGGGCAGCGGCTGTGGAAGGGGCGACGAAGTCGACAAACAGAAAATGAGAAAGTGTAAGTGTGCGGGTGAAACAGCCCCTTAGCTTTATTTTTAATTCACTCTATCCAAACCTCGGTTCTTCCCTGTGATGTTCTTCTCATGGCCTCAATCAACACTTTTAGTGACGGGACCTCCAGATTTAACGTAAAAGTAAGCGCTTACGTTAAACGACACGATCCGCACTATTAGGCTACATTTAATAGGTTTAACCTCAGAATGTTTAACATCCATTTGCGATAGGACTAAGCAAAATAGGTTGCGAGCCTTGAAAACTTCACAAAAAGACCCTAGTTCAAGAATGCCCAGTGTGGGATTCGAACCAGAGCCATCAGCTCCGAAGTCTAGCATAATACCAACTGGGCCATCACAGTGCCCGGAAAACAAACATAAAACTCAACATTCAAAGCTTTCGGTGCCTCGTACGCTCGGTATTTTTTTTCTCGAAAGTTGAGCGTTTCTGTGCGCACCTTTTGTCGTTATTGGTCATTGACATTCCCAAAGAATTCCATTGCTAATGACGTCACACTACAACTATAACACAACAAGTCATGTTGTTTGCTCTTTTGCTATCTATCTATCTATCTATCTATCTATCTATCTATCTATCTATCTATCTATCTATCTATTTATCTATATATCTATCTATCTATCTATCTATCTTGGTGCCTGGCACAAAAAACTGGTGAGTCTTATCCGATGAACACCGTAATAATTATTATGGATTATACAAAAGTTTTGGCTCTCAAGTCCGCGCATGGGTCCTATATGGGATGAAGTAAGTTATATTCTATCTATCTATAGCACGAGACAAAATAAATTAATAGTCGCCAACTTAGCGGCTGAGAGAATATACGTGGTAAGACTTTTAGACAGTACAAGGGTACCTTCATGTACATATTACGCAATTTGCAAAAACTATTCAAAACAAAACAATGGGGGGTTTTTCTTGACTGTCTGCATAAAGTACGGCGTATTCATTTTTTTTTCTTGGAACTGGCGCTCCGCCTTAAATACAAAAATGTAGGTCAAATGTTATCAGATGAAATCGAAGAGTGGAAAAATGCATTATTCATTTCTCGAGCGCCGTGGACTTTTAACATCACTTGAATGTACGAGTGCCTTTGTGGGCTTCGACCCTCTTCCCAGACGAGGATAGGGTAGCAGCAACTATGTACTTGCAAATGAAGAGAATCGAAAACTATGAAGCTCAAAGCGACTGTGGCAACGCTTTTGGCATTTGATGATGTGAAAAGGGGCTTACTTATAAGAGAGAGAGAGAGAGAGAGAGAGAGAGAGAGAGAGAGAGAGAGAGAGAGAGAGAGAGAGAGAGAGAGAGAGAGAGAGAGATTGGTGGTGGTGGTGGGGGGGGGGGGGTGAGGGAGAAAGACGAGGTAGAAAAATATGCGAGAAAGTAAACCTGTCCGAAAAGCCTAAGGTCAAACGAATAAAATTAGTAGAGATGATTCAGTAGATCTGAGCTGGGAATAAAATAAGACTACACTTCTTTAAAAATGCTTTTACAAATACCTTTTCATGATACGTTAAAAAGAAGATAGTAGGATAAAACTAAATATGATAAACTAGAAACTAATTTACCTACTGTGAAAATATCTTTAAGGAAATAAAATAATGTCTGTATTAACCACCGGTAAATACGTCCCCTCCACCCGACCTCCTAAATGGTCGAAATCGTGTTGATAGGGGAGTGAAGCGCCTACAGTGATTTATTTTATTTAACTAAAAAAAAAAAATCATACTCTGAACAAACTTACCTATAATAGTCATGGACGTTGGCGCAAAGGATTCCCCTCTGCCTGTGTTCTGTACCTCATAACTCACGGCCATACATTTCACGTGGTCAGGCACTGCAAGACACACAATATAACAGTGTCAAAACAACATTTTTTGTATGATTCTAGCCCTTTGGTGTGTAAAAACATGTAGGTAATTTCGTTGGCAGGTCCTCACTTTGTGGAGTTGAGAGCAGTATTTATTATAATTTTATTTTGCAGACACGATCCCTGGCCTGGTTCACATAATATCAACATAGGAGAGAACTAGGTAAAAGACATATTGGAAAGAACAAAAAGTTACTCCAAAAACAAACAACAAGATATGTATGCTTGGGAAAAGAAATAAAAATCCCAAGATAAATAGAACTTTGATTGTTTTTTATTTGGATAAAACCTGACTTCAAAGAACTCCGACGATTTGTCCCATGAAAGGCAGAATAGTTCGGTTAACCTCAATACATCTGGCTGAGACGAAAGCATCATGAAAACGACACATAGTATTTGGGCCTAGAACTCTGCACTCCTATCGAGCTTCTTGGGGCCCCATTTAAACAGTTGGTGCCATGCTGGGCCAGGGAGAGAAAGATATGGGTTGAAGTCCCCAATAAGGAGATACTAAACTTGTGTCCTTTGAAGAGTCTCCACTTTATTGGCTCGTTCCGAAAAAGACGTTAAAACTGGAGCCCCCCGCCTCTTACATAACTTCTAGTGTTGAAAGAGAGGCGATAAAGCCATGCTAAACAGTTATGTAACTTTTGGGTGTGAGTTAAGTAAGTGACCAGCTACCATTTAGAAGCGAAATGCCGATGTGCCAACGAGCTGGAACGATGACAAGGCGTGATAAATCAATGCGTGATGCAAGAAAAGGATTCTAGAAACCGAGATAACAGAACGTACTAAAATGCAGAACGATTGAAGGGGAAGAAAGACGTGGTAGGACTGATCAACAGGCATAGGGGATTAAAGGAGTAATTTCTTTCAAAATCCTTGCAAAGCCCGCTGAAATGTATCTTTCTAGATGATCTGTACTTTTGTGTGCCCCAGAATTTGAAGCCAGTTAGGATCAGCTGATGAGAGGGAGCTTTTCGTTGTATCTTCTGAAGCCAATCTTCCAAAGTAGATGGTTGGCATGAGAGTACTTTCTGAAGGTGTGTTTTTATATCATGTTTGTATAACACAACGTGTTTCATATTCATTTGCCTTCTTATACTATTATTCTTCATAAACCACAAACCTCAGAGTGGCCGCGCCTTTGGGAATATGATTTCTGTGTGTGAGGCAGAATTTGCCCTCTTTTGATTGGATTAACACTAAAGTTAAAAACAATGCTCTTGAGTATTCGTGGATTTATTTTCTGTAAAACAAAATGATTAAGTATGCCTTTTTGCTTCGCCTGTAGTGTCGCGGTTAGACCCTTCGACGTAGCACGCATGAGCTCGATTTCTGTCTGGGGAAAATCTTTATCGAGCATCTCCGTTTCTCTTCTAGGTTGTCGTATCCTTCTCAGCCTGGATTAGAAGCAGCTCAGCCCACAAATTATCTACATGGGGCCAATAGTGGCTTTAAACTTCTTCAGTCAATCAAAATCATAATTACAATGTCACAGAGTAATGATAATGATATAGTAAACTTTTTTTAGTTCCGTATAACCAGGAGGGTAAGGGCGAAAAGATCGAGTCGCTTGGGTTTAGACAGGTTATCTCTTTTCTGCTTCACTTCCTGAAGTGTCCACGAGTTAGCTCCCCTTGTAATTAGGAGCTTTTCCTACGAGTCTCGCGCTTGATTACTCGACTGTAAACTGGAGTGATATACGTTGTGAGTACTCTACTTGAGAGGCCGAGAGGAGAAAGGGAGTCTTGGGGCATTATTAGAAAGATCTATCTTGGTTTATTGAGTGTGTACGTATGGGGTGAGAACTGGGGTACAGAGGGAGGGGGAAGGGAGAAAGAAAGAGAGGGAGAGAGAAAGGAAGAGATTGAGAGAGAAAACGTAGGAGAGAGAGAATGAGAGAGAGAGAGGGAGAGAGAGAGAGAGAGAGAGAGAGAGAGAGAGAGAGAGAGAGAGAGGGATGGATGTTGTCGCACTGACACTCACACCTGATAGCAACCTTTTTGTTTTTATTTCTTCTATCTGGGGATTGATCTCTCAGTTCCTGATAGAATGGTCTGCCTATCTTCCGTTTCCCGCCGCTGTACCAAATGACCGGCATTATATTATGGAGGGTACGTCTGTTTACACGAATTAATACTTTTAATGACTCAACACACACACACACACACCCGCGCGCACGCACACACACACACACACACAAACACACACACGCACACATACACGTACACAC